CATAAATTTGTGATACCGAAGGGTGTTGATATCAGTAGCTGAAGTGCGTCTGCAATAGAGAAGACACACGCAGTGCTCCAAACGCTCAAATACATGGTCACTGACCTCTGGCGATCTTCCCAGAATGTTGAAGACATCAAGAAATTCATCATGTGCCTGCAGTGTTTTGAGTGCCATCAATTTTCCTTTTCTCACAAAGGCACTAGTTAAATCATAATCACTAAATGCATGCAGTGCTGGCAATGCAGAACACATGTCCTTTCCCAGTGACCGTGAAACTCTTTGAACATCAATCAGACGTCTGTTGTTACCCACACCAGTGTCAAATAAAACCTGTTGGGTCAGTCCGTATGTGAAGTGAAGAAGAAGTATGAAAACGTCTGTATCTGGCGATCTAACAGTGATGACAGAATCCTCAGATGAATGACTGGCAATGCAGAATAATTCTGGTGTATGCCTCTTCTTGGTCAGATGTTAGTTCGGTCACCAGCTCCGAAATAGTATTGTGCCCATTTGGGCTGTGTAGTCTGAAGCAACACTTGCCACACTCAAAAGGAATCTCTATTCCGCGGAGATTCTGCGCATAGTCGTCCTTTTGCCATTCTTTAAGCAGGAAACTAATCATTTGGGTTTTATTTTCACCACAGGACAAAATGCTTTTCCAATCTCTAGGTACCTTTGTGTTGGGCCCCTTTAGCAGATAAGCCATTGACGAACCCCTTGCCTTGACTGACAACGGAGAGTATGAATCCGTGACAAAATCCACTCCTTTGCCCTTTGGAAGTCGTGCAAAGATGCTCTTGGCAAGCTCTCTGAAAGTTTCAGGCAGACCTACTTGTGCCTGTAGCAGTCCATTGCTATCGACAATGTAGCTTGTTCCACTTGGTTTATCAGACTTAAAATCGGCTTCTAAGGCACCCATTAGTTTGGACTTAGCTGTTTTTGTGAGACTTCCATCGGATGTTGCAAGAGATGCAGGCACTATATAGCACTTTTGAATATTGCTAATAATGATAAATATGATAGTGATAACAGTAGTAGTAGTTGCAATATAAGAGTAATAATTTAATCTTTTCTCTTTCCTGTCTCTATCTTTACGTTTTTATGTCCCTCTTTCTCTCTCTCTCTCTATCTCTCTCCCTCCCTCTCTCTCTCTCTCTCTCTCTCTCTCTCTCTCTCTCTCTCTCTCTCTCTCTCTCTCTCTCTCTCTCTCTCTCTCTCTCTCTCTCTCTCTCTCTCTCTCTCTCACTCCCTCTCTCTTTCTCTCTCTCCCTCTCTCTTTCTCATTCTCTCTCCCTCTCTCTTTCTCTTTCTCTTTCTTCTCTTTTTCTCTTTCTTTCTTCTCTTTCTCTCTTTCTTTCTTCTCTTTCTCTCTATCTTTCTCTATAGCACTATAAGTGCAGGCACTATAAAACTACTATTTTGTGATACCCCTAGGCACACGTTTGACAATTTTGTAAGCATTGCCCTATTTTTGCACTCTTTTGACCTAGGGTGACCTAGATTTGACCAGAGATCTATATTGACTATTTTAATTGACAGAGGACCTTTACCGGACAATTTTGGGGGGTAATATTTTGCTCTACGTCAAAAGGTTATGAAGTTACGGCTGTCTGTATTTCCCTTACCCCTAGGAAATATTGTCCTCAAACTGGACACGCCGGTTAAACTCCAACAAGGCCCTGCACCTTTACCCAACAACGATTTTAATGCAGACAAAGCTGTGGTTGTATTGGGTGGCCTTGGGGTGATGGTGATTATGTCTAGTCTGTAAATTTTCCCATAGGGGGGTTTGAGAGTGTGTAACCGTCCTGGGTTAGTGAGGGGACACAGCGCGAGTGAGAGAGAGTAGAGAGCGAGAGCGAGAGAGCAGAGAGCGAGCTCGCGAGAACGCCCTCGAACCTCACAGCGCAGCTCTCTCTCTCTCTTTCTCTCTCTCTATCCATACCCCTTCCATCCCCTTACCTATCCCCTCAAGCTCTCCTCCCACCGCCCCCTACCCTATCCATACCCCTTCCAGCTCCTCTACCCTACCCATACCCCTTCCATCCACCTACCTATCCACTCCAGCTCTCACCTGTAGTAGCGCAGAGCTCCGACGTCTTTTATTGTCTCGTTGGGCGTCCACACAATCCACAGCGTGAGAACTCGGAAGGGGAGGGGGAAACGAGACTGGCAGAAGAATGGAAGATAGCACCGTCGCCAGCGTTACTACGACGGTCCCCCTGGGAGGGAAAAGGCGGAAGGGGAGGGAGGTAGAGGAAGGGAGGGAAGAGGGGAGGAAGAGGGGGGATAAAGGAATGGAAGAGAGGAGGGGAGAGAGGGGGAGGGAGACAGGGGTGGGGGGCGGTGAGGGAAAGGGGGGAAGAAGAGACGAGAGGAGGAGGGAGAGGAAGAAGAGTGAGGGAGAGGGATGAGGGAGGAGAGGATAGCGGGAAGGAGGAGAGGAGAGGAAGGAGAGGTGAGGGGAGGGTAGGGGATAGATGGAGGAAGGATGGGAAAGCGGAGGAAGGAAAGGCGAGAGAGAGAGAGAGAAGAAGGAGAAAGAGAGGGGAGTGAGGACGAAGGGAATGAGAGAAGTGAGGGCCGCGACTGATAAGAGAATAGGGAATAGCGGACGGGATGGAAGGGAGGATTAAGGGAAGGAGGGCGGAGGCGAGGGAGGGGAGGGATAGGAGGGAAGGAGGACGAGGGGGAAAAGGGGAGGTGAAAAGGAGATGAGAGGGGTACGGGGAAAGGGGAGGGAGAGGGCGAGAGAGGAAAGGGAAAGGGGAGGGAGGGGAGGGATAGACGGAAAAGGAGGGAGGGAGGGGGGGAAAGGGGGAGGGAGGGGAGCGCGGAGAGGGAATGAGGGTTTGGGAGGGCGTAGGAAGAGAGGGGAGAGGAGGGAGGGAGAGGGGAGAGAGAGGAAGGGAGAAGGGAAGGAAGAGGAAGGGAGGAAGAGGGGAAAAGGGGAGGGGAAGGGAAGAGAGGGAGGAGGGGAAGGGTGGGAGGGAGGAGAGGAAGAGGGGAGGAGGAGGAAAAGGACGAGGGGGGAAAGGGGGAGGCGAGCGAGAAGAGGAGGGAGGAAAGAGGGTGGGAGTAGGAGAGGGGATTCGGGTGGATGTGGGGGTGGGGGAGTGAGGTGTGTGAGGAATTGGGATGGAAGAAGCGAGAGAAAGAAAGAAAGCCGGAGGAGAGGAGAAAGAAAGAAAGGTGTGGTTGTGGGATGAGGGGGGGAGGGGGGGGAGACGAGTTTGTTTTGAAGGAAGGGGGGATTGGATTAGGGATATTGGGATGGGGAGGGAGGGGGGGCGGAGGGGAGGGAGGGAGATGGGGGGGAAGGAAATAGCAGGGGTAAGGAAAAAGAGGAGAGAGGAAGGAGACGGATGAAAGGGAGGAGGAAGAATAGGAGAAGGGGGGGGGAGGGAGATCCATTTAGGTGGGAAAGGTGGGGTGGAAGGGTGGGGAAAGAGTAGGAATAAAAGAGAGAAGATATAAGGGAAAGAAGATTTAAAAGGAGAAAAGGGGAGGTAATTGAGGAATAGGAAGGAATGGAAAAACAAGGGGGGAGGGGGGGAGGGGGACGGGTAGGGGCGTAAGGGCGGGGGGAGAATAGGGGAAAGGTGGGGGGGGAAAAAAGTAAGAGAGGAGGGGGGGGGGATGTGGGTGGGGGAGGGGAAAAGGAGGACAAAAAGGGGAAGAGGGGGAGGGAGAAATGGGACTGGAGTAGGGGAGGGAAAATCGGAGGGGAGGAAGAATGGGGGGGATGGGGGGGGGGGGAGGAAGGGGGGAGAGAAAGGGAGGGGGAAAGGATGGGGGGGAGGGGAAATGGGGGGGGAATGGGAGAAAGGGGAAGGAGGAATGGGGATGGGGAGGAAGTGAGGGAAGGGGGTGGGGGGAGGTGAGGATTAGGGGGGTGAGGAATAGGAGGGGATAATAAACAGAAGGAGGATAGAAGAAAAGCGAGAGAAAGGAGGGGGGGGGGTGGTATGGAAGAGAGGTGGGTAGTGGGTTGGAGGGAGGGGGGGGAGAGGAGAGGAGAAAGAGAAAGGGAGGGTAGAAAAGGAAAAGAGGAGAGAGAAAAAAATGTTTTAGTTACCAGAACACTCTGTAGGGAATTTTAACCCAATAAATCTATACAACTGTATTTGCAATAATTACACTGGCTTCAAGTGGTTCGTGGTCTTATTTTATTCTGTTGTACTGACCACCACATTTTCTCACACCAATAATTAAATGTTAATAAGAATATTCAGTATTAGGATTAATACCAGTGCTAATATTAGTGTTAGTATTAGTATTATTATTAAAGTCAAAACAGTCTTAGAAATGTAAATACCATCACCATTACTGAAAATCATTTCCTCTCTCGTCTCTGCCATTATTATTATTATTATTATTATTATCATTATTATTATTATTATTATTATTATCATCATCATCATCATCATCTCCATCATTATCACTATTATTATTACTATCATTATTATTGCTATCACCGTCACTGTTATCGTTATTAATATCATTACTATTATTATTAACATTACTATTATTATTAACATTACTATTATCATTGACATTACTATTATTATTACATTACTATTATCATTGACATTACTATTATTATTAACATTACTATTATTATCTTCATCATTACTGTCATCATTATTATCATTATTACCATTATCATCCTCATTATACCTATCATCATCACCATCATCATACATACAATCATCCCATTTCTCTTTCTCTCGTCCCCTACCTGTCTCCTAGCCTTCATATTGGGCAGGTCGACTTTGCGGTGATGCAGAGCGGCCGAGGCGGAGTCCTGCATCAAACTCCTGCCGATGACGAGATAGAGGAGCACCAGCAGCACCAAGGGCACGAAGAAGAAGACGGCGGTGACCACGTTGATGTAGAGACATGACCAGAGCGAAGTCAGGTCGGTGAAGCAGACGGGGACTGTGGAGCCGTCTGCATAGGGCACCCACTCGTGTTTGCTCATGACTAGCATCGGGCTGGGGGGAGAGAGAGAGAGAGGGGGAGGTGAGTGGGATTGAGAGAGGTGGAGGAGGAGGAAGAGGAGAAAGGAGAGAGAGAGGGGGGGGAGATGAGTGGGATAGAAAGAGGTGGAGTAGGAGGAGGAGAAAGGAGAGTAGAGTAGGAGGAGAGAGAGAGAGAAAGAGGGGGTGAGTGGGGTAGAGAGAGATGGAGTACGAGGAAGAGGAGAAAGGAGAGTAGAGTAGGAGGAGAGAGAGAGAAAGAAAGAGAGAGGGGGGGAGGGAGAAGGAAAAAAGAGGGAGAGAAAGAGGGAGGGAGGGAGGGAGGGAGGGAGGAAGAGAGAGAGAGAGAGGGGTAGGGAGGGAGAGAGAGGAGAGAGAAAAAGAGTGAAACAGAGAAAGAGAGAGTGAGAGAGGGGGAGAAACAGACAATTCAATTCAATTCAATTCTTATATTTATTAAAATGTCACGAAACAAGTTAAAGATACATACACATATATTACATTTGTATCCATTCCTTCCGGACTTACCCAGACACTGAAGTCATTAACATTTATATTATGATGATAATGATAAGGGAAATACTAAACTATCTGATTTACATTTTGTACGTCCAACATTTTAAGGAGTAAATGATAATACAATTTGCTCGGAGGAACAAAGTTTTGCATGAATCAGGTCAGAAGTTTCCTTCTTCCATATGCATTGATGGCTTAATATACTATCTGAAAGGATCCTTTCATCTCCAAGAATAAATTCTAAGTTTACAGTCCTTGTCGAGATTTGCAAAATCAAAGATGATCTGTTTACATTTGCTCATCAATTCATGGCTGAAGTTTGCATACAGTGGAGAATCAAGCAGGAAATGAATTTCTTCTTCAATTTTCCCATCTTCACAATGAACACATAACCGCTCTTGTGGGGGTAAGTTATAAAAACGCCCCGTTTCTATTCTTAGTGGCAAGATCCCTGTTCTTAGCTGCGCGAATACTGACCAAGAACTCTCAGATAGATTTCTTGTTACATATGGCTCAGGCTGATATTTAGTTTTGAACAATTTATATGTCCTTAGCTTAGGTTTTGTATGTATATCTCTTAAGAGCTGTTGCTCATGGATTCGAATTAATTCAGACCTCAACAGGTTAAAGTTTCTATCTTTCGTTTTGTTTGAGTAAATCTTTTGTTTATTTATTTGATTAAGATAAACTGCATATCTGAACACTAGCTTAATTTCTTTTCGTGCTCGTTCTCGAAGACTTTCCGAGGAAATCTTGATTCATCTAGCTGAATTATGTGGTTCTAGAACCTAACCATTTCTTCGAACAGTTGGTGGTTCAAATCCCATTTCTCCTTGTAGAGCAGCTACATCGCTGTATTTATGAGCGCCGAGATATGCACTTAAAGCTCTCTTATCTACAACGTCCGGTTTAGGGTAAAGCCCCGATCCCCAGACCCCTGCACTATAATCCGACACCTTGGAGAGGCAGGCGTCATACAGCTTCTTGTACGTCCGAAATCCCATGGTGTTATTTGCATATTTGCCGACAAGAGAAGCTAGGGTTGTCGACGACCGTGTAGCTAAATCATCTGCTAGTACATCAAAACTGAGATGTTCGACAAGTACAACGCCTAGATATTTGTATTTAGAGTTGTAAGTGGCCTGTTTTCACTGCGATCTCCATATCTGAACAGAAATTTACTCTGTGGTTTCTGTCGTTTTCGCACATGTGGAATTTGCGTTTTGAATTGACAACCTCCACTTCTTACACCAATTATAGATGAGATCAATTAATTTCTGAAGTTGGATTTCGGTGTTTGTAAATATAACAACATCATCTGCATATAAAAGTACTGCTAGAGAAATGCCATAGAAGGCAACACCAATATCACTTGCTTTTAACTTTTAACCTTGTTTAACCCCTATGTTATTCTAGAAGGAATCAGTAATATAGCCATTGATTTTGACAGGTTGTCTCCCGGTAACACCTGCGTTCAACAAACTTACGAACAAACATACTCTGTCTACCTTATCGAAGGCTTTTTGGACGAAACAACAGATTGTGTCAAAACTCTCCTTGAGATGAAGAAACACCATCGTTAATGTAAATATATGCTCTGTTGTTCCTCTGCCTCTCGATATCCGTTCTGCTCTTCAACAAGGATTTGCTTCTCTTCCAGGTATTCCTCAAGCCTATAATTCAACAGGGACGAATACATGTTGCCCGCACAAGATACCAAGGAAATACGTCTATAGCTCAACGGAATTCTCTTTATCTCGCAGTGCATTTTTGGGAGTGATGGTTGCCAAATCACATTTCTTTGGTCTAATGCTAGTTTCAAAACTCCAATCAAAGACTGCATGGAAAAGTATCGACGAAACGTTGTCTAATTTCACCATTTACAGCCTTTCCATTCTTTTTGTTCCCAGTGACTTTCCTAACTTCATCTAGTGATATCTTTCTGTTAAAGTACCTCCCTGTTGAGTGAAGCTGTATCTCCATGTCTTTTATATTTAGTTCGTCTTGCAGGGTTTGTAAAAATAAGATGTCAAACCCGCCTTCGTCCACATTAACCCTGTATAATTTTTCAAATTCATTTTTCCATTTGTTAATAACATAAGCATGGTCGGTTGTCTCATTACCATGGTCATCATTACACTTCCATGGGTATTTCATCTTTGATTCTAGGTTTTAGTTTGTTAATCTGATCCCCAAATAATTTTGGGTTATTTACGTGGTACTTACGGGTTTTCTCTTCGAAACGCACGATTAAAGTTTGCCCGATTTTCTTTGAACTGATCTCTTGAATTTCCCAAGCTGACTTACTATCTTCCTTCGCTTTTCAAAAAAAAAATCTTAGACTGCCGAGTCCTTTCCCAGAGAGCTTTTAGTTCAAATCCACCATGATTTTGCTTTCCTGTGCGGTTTTCTATTTGTATTTTTTTTTTTTTTTTTTTTTTTATCGGGGTGAAGCATCGCTCCATCTGTGTATGTCTGGATTACTTCATTATATTGTTTGTCTATTTCATTCTGATTTACATCCGTATTCGCAATATCCCGTGTGAGAAATCGAATTTGTTCTACAAAGTTTTCATTAGCTATAAATTCGGTAGGCATACTCCTAATCTTAAATTTTCTAACTGATTCTTTCACACACTGCATCTCGTTCACAGCTTCGACAACAATCAAACACCTATTATTTGGTTCCCTCTCATTATAGACAATAATTAGACACGTTTAGTTTTTCTGTCAAAATGGCATATCCTCATATTCTGTTGATTTTACAAAATGTACTAAATTGGCATTCTCTAAGAAACCAACAGATGGAGTTGCTCTTAGTTGCTTCAAATGGATACCTTGAAATTGTACGAAATATAATCCACCACTGAAGAACACCCTTCCCCCCACCCCCCTCCCCTTATTAACAGTCGAGACATCTGTCCAGTTATTTAAGTTCAGAAGTCACACAAGCATATCGTAAAGTGACTCCCGTGAGCATATACTTGTACTTACATAGCATATACCTATACTTACTTACTTATACATAGCATATACTTATACTTAGCATATACTTATACTTACATATACTATACGTAAAGTGACTCCCGTGAGCATATACTCTACAATGTGGTTAAAAAATATAATGTAAGTGAACGTAAATCTAATTGTGACCGTGATTATGATTGGTATATATTGATTACAGGTTTGACCGCATTCCAATAAGCTGTTAAGCGAGAGTACGACGCTGTGGTATCAGTCACCTCGAGTTAAAGAAAAAAAAATAAAGAGCGAGAAATGACGCTTGAAAGGGAGAAAGAGAGAAAGAGAGGGGGAGAGAGGGAAGGGGGGGGAAAGAGATGAGAAGGGGGAGAGAGGAAAAGGAAGAAAGGGGGAAGAGATATAGAGAGGGGGAGGTGAGGGGGAGAGAGGAAGAAAAAAGAGGGATGGGAGGGTGGGAAGAGGGAAGACAGGGGGGGGGAAGAGGATGAGAGAGGGGGGAGAGAAGAGTGGATAGAGGGGGGAAAAAAGAGATTATATCTTACGATGCTCACCTTTTAACTAATTACAAGAATTTACAATAAAAAAATATTTTTAACTGAAATAAGACTGAGAATTTTTTTTTTTTGCTTGATTCGCGAGGCAGAGCCTCGCCCGGGATATACCCATAAGGGGAGCCCGGGAGACTGAGATTGCTATCAGACAATGTATATTTACAATTACTGCTGACTTTATAATGTTTTATAATAGAGATTATGCTAATAAAGATAATGACAATAATAATGTCGATAAAATAATGATAGCTATATTAATAATAATGATAATGATAATATCAATAAAGAAAGAGAGCGAGGGAGAGTGTCTGATAGTGAAACAGAGAGGAAGAAAGAGAGAGAGAGAGGAAGAAAGAGAGATTAAGAGTGAGAGAGAGATTGGAAAATGATAACTTGATACAGACAGAATTAAAACAAAAACAAACAAACAAACAAAAACTATAGAACGAGAAACAAGAACATAGAAAACGACGTGCCCAACCAAACCTAGTAAGAGGGTTTTAACTTTAACTTTAGAACGAAGAAAAAAATGAAATCGGTTTGTTAATTCGGAATTTCTTCCTTTTCCTTCTACTTTCCTCATTATCTCTCAGATGATTCTTCGACAATTACGATGTTTATCGAGATATTACAGCTGACTCCCTTAAGGTCCAAGTTGGGTGGTGGTGAAAAGTGGGTTGGGGGGAGGTGGGGGGGGGTGGAGGGAGAGCGCAGGGGGGAGAGGTAGAGGGTCGAGGGAGAGGAGCAGAGAGAGAGGGGGGAGGAGGGGAGAGAGCGAGACGGGAGAGGCTCGCTCGCTCGCGCGCAGGAGCAGAACGATCTAGCGGAGCTCTCTCTCCCGCTCCTCCTCTCTCCTCTCCTCTCTCCTCACTCTCTCTCTCGAAAAGAATGAAAAGGAGAAAGGAAGAAATGAAGAGGAAAGAAAGGAGAAGGAAGGAAGTTGAAGAAAAATGAATGATGAGAAGA